TGTATATGTATATATATGTATATGTATATATATATATATATGTATAAATTTATATATTTTTTTCCCCCAAGTGTAAGTTACAATTATCAAAAGTCATAGCACCCATATCCTGAATGAGCTGAACGTTTTGATTTAGTAATGGTTAAAATGTTGTAAAATATGCAGTAGTTTGATTGATTAAAAAAATAAGTGTCCAGAAGAAACAACCTGGAAAACGGTGTAAATGCTGACTCGGCAACAGAGGAGATTTTTGCTTGAAAGCCTCACTGCTACGTTCGAGTTCATGCTTGGGTCATTTTGTTTCAGCTCACCCTTCAGCAGGAATGAGATGGTTAAAGGACATTTGCTTGTGACTTTGTATTGTAATCTGGTCTTGCTCAACATTCTAGCAGATTCCTTGTCATTTAAACTTTTAATTTGCTACGTTTGTCATGATTTTGCTAAAACATCTGGTTAAATTGATCCTTTTGTCTGCGGGGCAGGGTTTGCAGGTACTCCGGGTTATCTCTCCCCTGAAGTCTTGAGGAAGGATCCTTACGGAAAGCCTGTGGACATTTGGGCCTGTGGTGAGTTTGAGCTCCTCATTCATACATTTTAAAGCTTTTTTGTTAGGGGTTTTAAGAAACAAACTCCAGATGGTTTCATTGTTTGTTTTGTAGTTTGTTCAACCAAAAGCCTTAAAAAGCACCTGTTGTTTTAAGACGAGTAATTGAGATACTGAAACTTGTTAAATTGCATTTTCTGAATTATTTCGGTGTTAATGCTGAGTAACTTGGCCACATTTTGATAAAGTAGCTAAAATGGGTTTGTTAAAACTAACCGCAGAAGAATAGCTAAAAGCTTTAAAATGCTAGCTAAAAGTAGCTAGCTAAAATTTTAAAGTAGCCCAAGTCCAGCTAAAAGCAATACGAAGCAAAAACTAGCTAAAATTGACTTTTTTTTTTCTTTTTTTTTTTTGGTAGAAGAAGCAAATTGCCGGCTAAAGCCAAATGTAGCAAAAGTCTAGCTAAATGTATTGGAATGGTAATCAAACGTTGAGAAGACAAAATTAGAACCAGTACGCTAAAGTTGATTTAAATTTAAAGGACTAGAGATCTAAACATATTTCTATGGGAAAATATTAGTAAATATTTCAAAGTTCATTCTCAATAATTCAGGTTAAAAAAAAAATCCAACAAGATTCAGTCAGGTCATCTGCATATTTTTTTTTTTTTGTTGAGACGTTTCATCCTTAATCCAAAGGACTTCATCAGTCCAATCCATCAATCTGGATTGATGAAGTCCTTTGGATGAAGCACGAAATGTCTCAACTATAATGTAACCGTCCAGATGACCTGACTGAACCTTGTTGGATTAGTAAATATCATGAAAAGTATAAAAGTCACAAACTATCAAAGAATTAAGATTATTTTCATCTTTGAAACTTATTTCAAAGAGTTGACTTAAGCTTAGAATAAAAACATTTTTCATACAATGAAATGTGCTCCTATTGTTGCTTTTTCTTTTTAAACCTATAGTCGTCTTCTGTGGAACATTATAACTTGTTGCCGAAAGCTTCTTCGGCTGGTTTTGTAACGATCTTTCTCTTCCCACTTTATTTGCTGTCAGGTGTTATTCTCTATATCTTGTTAGTTGGATATCCTCCTTTCTGGGATGAAGATCAACACAAACTCTATCAGCAGATCAAAGCTGGAGCGTACGATGTAAGTGTGTTTGTGTGTTGCTGTATATTTCTAATTGGGTGCAGTGCAGGGGTTGGCTAAGCAGTTTTTGAATGTTTAATAGTGTCCAATTGAGATCAGGTCCAAAGCTATTGATCCTATCAGGGCTTTCCTGACGCATTGCAGAGGTTTGTGTGAAAGATACAGAATGAGAAGGTGTATCCTCCTCTCTTTGTCGCTGGTTAATCGAGTTATAATGCTGCTTTTTTTAAATTGGGGGTCCCCCCCCCACTGGGAATATGAGCATCGCTTTAGTGAATTTCTACTCGTTTGTTGTTTTGCGTGCACACTGTTGATACAGTTATTCTTAAATCTGGTGCTCGGATGGTGTGGCCTGGCCACAAACCTGCAGGTGGAGGCTGCGAAGTCTTTCTGTGGAAAAAATATTGATTCCATCCCTGTCTTTTCAGGCCTTTTTCTTTTTAATTAATCTTTCCCAGTTCCCGTCCCCAGAGTGGGACACTGTGACTCCAGAAGCAAAGAACCTGATCAACCAGATGTTGACCATCAACCCAGCCAAGAGAATCACTGCTGAGCAAGCCCTCAAACACCCATGGGTCTGTGTAAGTAACCTAAACCAGCGGAGAGAACATCTGGGGCCACACAGATTTACAAACGCATCTGAACATTAAACATATTCATGCAGCACAACAGCAATGCCTGCAGATGTAATTCCACGAAGACCAAGTCATGTATGAGTTCATGATGTTCATGAGTGGGTTCTTGTTCTTCTGTCTTTTTACAGCACCGTTCTACAGTGGCGTCCATGATGCACAGGCAGGAAACTGTCGAATGTCTCCGTAAATTCAACGCTCGCCGAAAACTCAAGGTAGGGCTGGACAATAACTCGATATATATATACTTTTATTCAGTAACGGTGATATGAGTTTTTAGCACATTTTTGATATTTCAATATACATTACGCTATGATTACAGCGTTTCACTGACAGTTTGTTTTCTGTCCCTCTGTGTGTGTGTGTGTGTGTGTGTGTGTGTGTGTGTCCCTGAAACGACACCCCCAGCTGTATCAAAAGAGAAACCCGTTGGGGTTAAGTTGTTTTTTAAAGTTAAAACTATTAATATTGACAAAGTTGAGAGTTTGTGTTTATTTGACGGTGATTTCAAATTTCTTTAAAGGCTAAATACAAATAAAAGGTGAACACTAATTTATTTGTACAGTTTTTCTGAGGCTTTTATATTATATCTATCGGAATTATGTCGTTATCGACCGAGAAGTATATCGTGATAAAAGTTTTGGCCATGTCGTCCAGCCCTAACTCAAGTTAGTCATTTTAAATTTTAATATGCCATCTTTCTGTTTTTAAACGTTTTTGTCTTTCTCAAGCTTCACCTTTTCTAAAGTTGTAATTATTACTACGGGTATTTTTTTTTAAGATTCAGGGCTTCTTTATATCACTATACCACACAAGCTAATGTTTCCCAGTGCATTACCACTAACATGTCATATGATTCAAAACTTGTGGAATGATTGCAACATTTCTAGTTGAATAGTGAGGTTTCTCCTCACGAGCCACTGGAATAAACACATAAAAGGCTATGCTAAAACTGAACGCCATGCCTGAGGCAAGTTTAAAAGATCTGTGACTAAGCACAGCAATGATGCCACAGACAGCGAGCCTTTTCCACTCTGAAGCCCTGAAAAACAGATGGGGGCACTTCACACTTGGGATTATCAGTGAAAATCAGTTTTTCTGACAGTTTAGACGGCGTGAAGAACACTGTGTAACGTCAGCCACTATTTCTTCAGCTCCTCTGGATGAATGGCAATAAATACACGGCATTAAGATGACTCCCGGTCCGCAAAAGTTGATGTATTTACAAAAAACAAAGCAAAACACAAACTTTCCAAAGAAAGAAAAGCTGACCTGAATGTCATCTGAGTCAGATTCAGTGTTTGACCAACAGAAGATTTTAATAAGAAATGTGAACCAGCAGAAATGCTCATATTAAGTATTAAAAGGCTGACTGGCTTTTGTTTATTCAAAACAATTAGAAGTCAAAAAACTAACTTGAAATTGAGTTGTTTTTTTAAATATGAGATTTAGGAGACATTGCACACATAATAACTTAATAATAGTGCATAATATACAATTTAAATCTATGCAAAATATTTGTTTAGTCTGTTAAAGGAAGATTTTCAACATTTAAGGTCTGTGTTTTTGGTGGATTCGGTGTCAAAGTGTTAAACTTTAGCACTGATTTTTGTTGTAAGTTTAACACGTTGGCACCGTTTGTTGACCAGCTATCCTCATTTAGGACAAAACTTTTATCTTGTGACCAGAATTTGGATTTTGTATTGCTTTCAGACTGGTGTCGAATAAAATAAAATAAAAATCCAGCATTAAAGTATGAGAAGCAATCGGAAAGTAATTTTAGGCTTTTCCAGGAAGATCTGCAGACATCCTGAGGCGTTCAAAGTTTCAGAAGCTCGACTCGTTTCTTTCTAGGCAGCAGCTATGAAACATTTTAATGACTTCCAGTTATATTTGCTGTACCGGTAGTTTGCATCAACAGCCATACAGTACATGCAAACTAATAGATCAAGTAGCAACTGTTTGTTTTTTCACGTCATTTCTATTCTTTTGCATAAAATGATACGTAACAGGACTTGGAGAACATGCTGTGTGTTTTGTTAGACAGTAGAGGCAGCTTTCTTGCCAAATGATACTCTTCTTGAATACTCGAGCAAAGACGGATAAAAAGTAAACTACTCGTTCTCGTGTTTTGAACAGAATATCAAACGGTTAACAGGATAAATCTTAAGAAAACCTACATTATACCTCCTTGAACATCTCTCACTTCTTCCCTCCTTCGTCTTCTCCTCCAGGGAGCCATTCTCACCACCATGCTGGTGTCCAGAAACTTCTCAGGTGGGTGTGCCCTTCGCCCTCAGCCCTCCCACGCAGCACATGCAGAGGGAGTGGAGGAAGGAGAGCGGATAGTCCTCTGCACCTCTTTTAACCCCCTCACCACACATGCACTCACCCACTCGTCCTCAGAATAACAATATGCCTTTGTGTGCACGCACACTTGCTAAAATCATGAAACTGAATTAAAAAGATTTGTGAAATAATGTGTAATGTTTTTATGGATTATTGAGTGTTTTGCATCCTGTTGTATGTAATCAGCCTAGAATGTGATATTCTGTCATGTACCAGACTGAGTGTAAGTTATGTCCTTGTCCATGTTAATGTATCTCTCCTTGTGTGTCTGTTTGTGTGTGTCCCTCTTTTTCTGCTGCCCATGGAGCATTTGCATGTTTGAGAGAAGAAAGCCTTTATTAGATTTTTTATGTTTTTGGGCAAGTATGGTGTTTTAAACAGGTGAAGACGAAGAATCTGTGTTTGTTTTTATTTCTCTCCGTCTGCTGAGAGTGACTCGTTTCTGCTGAAAGCCTTGTTCTCCGTCTCAAATTAATTGGACAGTCGATGGTTAATGATTTCACGCCTGGGTCTGGGAATCCACAGGAGTGCACATCTTTTTGGTTTAGCCCACTTTTGTTAAAGCGTTGGACGCTTGTGGGCTACAACCAGCAGCACATCCTGTGGTTTTCTAGACCCACGACTGAACGCCGTGAGACAAAACTGCCTATTTTGCATAGCTCCTCCCAACTGTAGCATTTCTGTCCAATAGTGGGCCGGCAGCATACCAACTCTGCTGCTGCCGCCTCCTCCACGGCCTCACTGGCTCAGGAAGGTACGTCCCAGAGACACGCCCATCCACTTCCTCTCTGCACACACTGCTCTTTCCAGGGGCCCATAGTGCAGGGTGGTCCCTCATCATCATCCCCAAACTCATGCATGCAGCCTCCACCAGCATCCTCATCAACACATAAATGCATGCTGTCAAGTTTTGCTCATTGAAGGTACTATGGATGGGTTTTTGCTTTATAGCAAAGACTTTTAGATTTCTCCTCTGTCATGTACATCAACACTTACTAGTGAGTTTTATTGTAAGTTTCAAATTTTTTTTTTTTTTTGCATCCATACCTCACCCCCACTCAACTGCAATCATTTTTTTTGTTTTATGACGAGGCCCATACTGATTTTCATCCAACCCCTTATGCTCCTGTGCTCCACCCCCAGCCAGGTCTGTGAGGCTGGGTGTGTGGGCAAACCGGGGCAGGGGATGAGGAGGGGCATGTATCCTGGGGGCTGGAACTGACACTGCAGGGGGCTGGCAAGAGCTGGGTTGGCGTGCTGCCATCGTCAGACCTGTTTGTGGCGGGAGAGAGGACACGGGTGGATGCTGAGGAGCTCGAGGAGAGGTTTTGACTGAGGCGCCAGATTTGAGTTCTTCTTTATTGTTCCCACATGTCTCATCTCCTCTCGAGGTCTGTTTAAGTACTTTCACACCTCTGTAAGCAGCGATGCCACAGGCTCTTTGCTTTGAAAGTACTTAAAATACGGCTCTCCTCTCATCCTGCTGAGTGGAGACTGGTGGTAAAGGTCTGCGATTCCAATGGTGGCTCCATGGATTCATTACTTTAGAACAAGAGTGTAGAGCAGAATGGGTTCTGTTACACATTTTGACAGGAATCTTCTTTGCTCTACATTTCTTTAAAGGTTCTGTATAAATAGGAACAAAGGTAAAATGTTAACCTTCCAGGATGCAGGTTAAGATGTGTGACTGGTGTGTTGAGATTTGGAGTGTTTGTGGTGCTTTGTCAGCTAAAGCCCCGGCAAATAGGGGCTTCCTCACTGAGACTGGACCAAGCTGCCTCTTTGTAAGTTTTTGATATCACGTGTGACGTCATCACTTCAGATTTGACTCATCTCTCTTTTCCTTTTTAGTCATTTTGTTGTTGTTTTTGGTCCTTTGATGGTGTCGCTCATGACTGCAAAATCTGCACACTTTAATTTTTTTAACTTAACTGCTTTTTGCACTTTTTTTTGTAAAGTTTGGCCTAGGTAAGGCTTGGCACTTTGCTCACGATGTTTCCTCTGACATTAAAGTAAAATCTGACACATTTGTATATTTGAAACATTGCTGTCTGAAAAGTGTATTTTTTTTTATTTATTTTTTTTTGTAGTTTTTTCTTTTGCCTTGCTGCCTTTTGCATGTGGTTTTCTTGTATGGTTAAATCCAAGACAATGTTCTGGGAGATTTGCACCTTCAGATGCTTTCTAATCGTCTTCCCTGTTGATCAGTCGATCTGGTGTGATGCTCATCTGCTCCTTCAGATGGTCATCTTGACTTCATCTACGCTTTCAGGTGGAATTGATCATTTTAAAAATGTTACAGGACATATTTGGAAAGCATATGAACAATGCAGCCTCACACTACCACAGATAGCAAACTTCTGGCTGTTTGGTTGTATCTAGGCCTGTCGCGATAAGCAATAAATCAATTAATCGCATGATGAATGAAAATTATCGACCTCATTTTCATTTATCGGCTTTATTGTTTCTTCGTGTCTCTCTGTTTTTACTGAAGGCACTGGATGACAAAATACTCAGCTGTGGTGTTCTTCACTGATCCCTCCCGTTCTCTTTTCTCTTTAAAATCTGTTTTAACCATCCAAAATGGTGTTTTTGGATGGTTAAAAGCAGCAACGCTGAGAAGTTAAGCTAACAGGCTGACCTGGGGGAAAAAACCTCCGTCTTGTCAAAGCTCCAAAATTCATGGTAGAATCCCGTGCCTTCGTGTAAAAAGTTGTTCTGATCTGCAAAAAGAAGCTGAGAACTTGTTTACTGATATATATATATATATATATATATATATATATATATATATATATAT